GAATGATTTTCAGCTGCTGTACCACTGCATATTCATTCAATCACTCTTGAGGTCTCAAAGCTAGAGAATGTTTAAGACCTATCTTCCACCTGTGGGTTTCTCCCTCTCATCAACCAGTCCACCCAAAACTTGTTCTTGGCACAGAACTCTCTGTCTCTCCATTATCTTTTTGTTGTACTTCTAGTCCTAAAATTTCCCCTATTAGGAAGTTTCCAATCCAAGGCCATACTTTCAGCTGGTTACATGTCAATTGTAGTCTCTCAGAGAAACTTAGAAAAGGCTATTTGAAAATCAAAGAACAGGCTTAATGGAGTTTGGGGGGCCTTTTGTTTTTCACCAGCTAAAGAGAGTTACTCTCATCTTCCAGCCAGCTGGTTTTAGGGTATCTGATGCAGTATCTCAGCTGCTCTTTCTCACACTCCTTCAAAACACCAAGCTGAATGCCACATAAACAGACATTTGGTTCACACTTTTCAGTTTGCTCAATAATCTAATACTTTACAGGATTTCCATCCCCAACTTTCTGCAAGACTCATAAAACACCGAATCTCTGATGATAGCCCCTTACTATTTGCAGGGCTACGCTGCAGGTAATAAAATTTGTCTGTTCAATAATCATGCTTTTTTCTTTTTCCCCCCTCAAACCATGCAGAAGCAGGTAAGAAACACTACAGAACAATAAAGATAATATAAATCAGATAATTAAGCAGAAGCTCTCAGAATGTCACTAAAAGCTCATAAAAAGCCAATTGATCGCAATGAGATCTTATTTTGCTCACAGCATCTTGTTTGTTTTTTTGAGAGGTTATGGTTAACTAGGGAGTTTCCTTTTCCCCTGCCACAAGAGTGGTCTTAAAGAATTTGAACCATTAGGTCCAGAAGACTAAATAGAGAAGCAGCACTAAAGGGGGGGAGGGAGAGCAGCAGACAAAGAATCAGGTTACAGTTACTTGTTATCTGAGAATGTGAGAGAAAACAAGGGTAAGAGTTAGGATGGACACATGAAACACGAAAAAAAATAGATGACTTTTGAAAAAAGATACTACAGAAAAACTAAATTTCAGTCATTACTATCTAGCACCCAGGAGACTTTTTTTTTTTTTTAATGTTTTTGTTGGGTTTGTTTTGTCTCTACAGAAAAATTAGGGTTTTCTATTTTCCTCCTAGTTAGTTGATACTAAAGGTATTGAATTTTCTCAGCATCTCATTTGCTGCCGCCTTGTGACATCTGTGTCAAAATCATAACAGTAAAACGCACAAGTGCCTCACACAGTCAGGAACAAGGGACCGGGACGACCTGTGCAGTCATAAGTGAACAGAGCTGCTGGAAGAGCAAGGCACAGGGCAGGCAAGTCTGCTGTCCATCAGGTGCTTGCTCCACATGCTCCTTCTCCTAGTTCAAGATGTGGCTGCTCACCTTTATGCACCGATAGATGCTGCAAGGTGCCACAAGGTAAAAGCAGAGATGAAGGTAGCTACTACGGAATAAGCAAAGATGCTATCAGTACGTGCTCAACCCCAAGCAGCAATCTTGCAGACATACCATCTGAAAGGTTTGCCCAGCCTCAGCCTTAAGCTTCCTGGAGCCATACTACAAGCACACTCACTTTTGAAGACGAGAGACAGAAGTACAAAAGATCAGGGTTTACGTTTAAATTTACAGTACGCTGTTTAATACTGACATTTTTACAGGTCTTCTGGGATGCACGGTTCATATGGCATGCTTGTGCACGTGACAGTGTCCTACACTTAGGTAAGCTCAATTTAGGTAAGCTCATTTCAGAAAAGGATGAACCCAGAGATAAAGTATAAATACAGCTACAAAAATGGCATCAACCAAACATTTTCTTTGTAACTGGAAGTATAGTTGAAAGTAGAACAGGAAATAGCAGAAAGTACCTAAAAAAAGTTATGGCTCAAAAGTGCATCAGGGACAATGAGAGGACTGTATCCTCTCAGGTTGAAGTGGCAGATAAGGCTGAATGAAAAGCAGGGGTAATTTACCCAGACTTCAGGAATGCCACTGCACAAAGAGCTGGCCCATAAGGTGAACAAGGACAAAATTCTTGAGTGCACAAAGGAGCAGCTTGGGGCAAGCCTTGCAGCTGTCTCAGAAGGAATGCACACTTTCTGTAGGTATTAAAATCCGCTGAAACAGGTGAAAGGGGGGAGTAAAGAAAGGCTTAATTCATAGCAAGCTACATAGTCTAAGAATACAGGAAAGTGAATGACTTAGCATAGGGGAAGTTTGAGGCAATAGGTCATGCAAAAAGGGATGAAAAGGTCACAGCAATTATGTATAGCCTTTTGGATAAAAGAATCCACTGCCAAGTCTCTGGATGTACTTCCAGCAATGTTAAGATGTTGCCTCCAGCTGCTGGATGACAGCACATCCTGGATTTATAAGTATTCATTGTTAGTATGTACACTCTGCATTTTGGGAAACATTGCTTTAGAACATGCTCCAGTGTCATTACCCCACACCCTCTCCCTTCTCTGGGAGGTCACCATGAACACATAAAATACAGCTTTGAGGAAGGAAGGCCCATATTCATTCTTAAAGAAGTTTAAGAGGATCAGATCAGGCTTTCCAGTGGATACTTAACCAGAGTGGCCTGGAAAGGATCCGATTCCAGCTAACAGAGATATCAAAATTCCCCAATTGTGGTTTCTTAGGAGCAGGCTACACTCACAACACAAGAAGACAGACAATGGTGAGCCTTTCCAGGCTTTCATCCCAGTATACACTGTGCTTCTACGTTACCAGTTTCAACCTTGGGGTATTTGTTGATTTTTATTTTGCTTTTATTTCAGCTCTACACACATTTTTTAATGCAAATGTGTGCCGACCATTTATCTCCAAACTGTCAATAAAGTGTCAAAAGTGACCAGCTGCACTGGGGCTCATTTCCACTCAAGCTTGAGATGGTCTCAGAGATAAGAAAGCACCGCTGGCACAGAAGGTGGGTTTCCCATGCGGAACATAAAGCCTGGAGAAGTTCTGGCTGCCTCATTCTCTGAGGAACAAAGCAGCAGGACAGAGGGCAAGGCAATACCGACACAGAGATCTGTGTTGTCCCACAAGGCACACCTGCCTCTTCTTCTTTTGATGAAGCAGTTGGAGACCATCACTCTGGGAGCAGCACAGCATGAAGAAATATGCAGGGGAAGCGCGATAAAGAATGTGTTAGTCTGGCACCATACAAGATGCAGTGAAGGAGGTGAATTCAAACACTCAGTAGAACACCAAGCACTAAACTTAGACACCTTCCCTGCTCTGTTGGCGCCCTTTTTGTACATCTATAGGATGCTTTTTAAAAGAGATCTCATTAACAATACTAACCAATCTAAAAAAAAGACCCAAAACACATACTTAACTTTCTTCTTTTCTAAATAACCAGATCACGGAATATTTTTCAAGATCCTACACATTAACGTTCAGAGGAAAAGAGAAAAGAAGCTGCATAAATGAATAGTTTGGCAGTGTTTTATTAAAAGAAAGAACCTCTAGAAACAGCCAGATGATGCAGCAGTAAAGGCACCTACAAAACAAGACAAATTAGCATCACCCACTGATTGTTGATCCTGGTGGCACTAGAGGCAAACTGGGAAAGGCTTTAGGGCAACCTTGTACTCACAGATTGTAAGCATGAAGAAAGAGTTATAAGCAGAAAGAAAGAAAGAATTAAAAGGTAGGTAGATAGTAAAGCAAGTTCCTTCTCTCTCCTCTTATTTTACAAATTTCTTCTACTATGGTGCAAATGCAGAGCATTGATTCTAATACTATTTTACTGGATTTCCATTTGTTTTGCCTGGGCTCCTACATTAATCCAAACAATAAGGGCCTTTAAAGCATTCATAAATAACCTGCTGCTGCTGCCGGCACCTAGGAGCCAAGTGCAGCAATGTTAAGCAACAACAAATTTCATAGTTCAAGAGGCACAGTTAAGGAAAAAGGTTGCTCAGAAAATCACTCTCATTTAGCACAAAGATCCTTAAAAATTGCATGAAATCAGTCAAGTAACTATAGAAACCAATTTCTTCAGCTCTGTATCACACGTCTCACACCTCAATTGTCTTTATTATCGTCTGCTGTCAGATCCTTAATCAGAAATGTGAACAGGCTTGATGATTTATTCAGCGGGGAAAAGAATCTGTAGGTCAAGTGAAAAATTTCACACACACATACACACGCACACACATCTTCAACCTTAGGTACTTTCATTTCATTCTGTTCCCAGTAGCTCTGGGGGCAACTCCAGTGAGATCCAATATTAAGGCTCAATTAAAATAAGCTCCAATTAGTGGAGCTTTTTTCTCTCAGGCTAGAAAAGTCAGGAAATGGATATTGGGAAATGTAAAAAGTCAGCTACTGAGAGGAGGCTGCAGACATAAATGAACTTATTTGTTGATTTCTACAGTTGCTATGCAGAGGCCTCTGGGAGTAAAAGCTTAACCAGTCTAAGCTATAAACTAAAACCCCTGCAGCTAAACATGAACTGTGTGAAACAAGGGCTCCATTCCAGAACAGAAAACTGCTGGGCCCAGAAAATTAAAAGCCAGAGGCGTTTTCCATTTAAAACTAAATCCCAGTACCGCCTCCCAGCCAAAGAATTATAAGCAGTATCAGATTTACAAAACGAACAATTACCCTGGAAAAATGTAGCCTATTGTACAGTCCCAGATGCTAAATCTCAAAGTTTCTTTTTTTTTTTTATTCTAATCCCACATTATATTCCTACCAAGTGTACTGCTGCAGTTTACAAAGGACTGTTTCTAGACAGGACTGAAACTACAAAAATAAAATGTTAAAAAAGAGAGCTCATAATTCATTGACCTCATTTGAAGCACTGCCCTTGCCTGTGGCAGTTCCTGTCCTTCCCCAAGGCCTCTGCAAATGGTATGCAGCAGCAAAATAAACCCTGACCTAATTGCCAGGACAGGGCTGCCAACCTTCTCTCAACACACAAAGGCAAGCATGGTAACTGGAAAAGTCCTACCTCTTTCACTTTCTGCTTTAACTGCAGTTGCTCTGGATCTTCTTTACTGGAACGGCTCTACCAAAGGAACAGGAAAAAGATTGAACAGGAATTACTGGCATCCAAACACCATCCTATCCGTTAAATATTTAATAAATGACAATTTTCTCTGGTGATTGAAAGATTTAGCTCCAGGGCTGAATGCCTCAATCCAGACTGGCTTCCCTCCCCCTCCACGCACATACGCACAACCCCCCTCCTCATCTGGGCCGGCTGCCTCTGCTCTAGCCTGAAGCAAGATTAAGCTGAAAATGATGCTAACACTGTCAGTCAGGTCCAGTCTAGGCATGATGCTGTTCATGTCAGCAGCAGACACTTAAAAAGGACAGGAAGTATAGAAAAGAAAGGGAGTCGTACTCGTGCAAGTACAACATGATTCTTTCAAGTCTAGATTAAGTTTCCACCCATGGGGCTCCAGAATTCAGCTTGAAACAAAACCAAAAAAACAAACAGAAGATGATCAAATCACATCTACTGATTTTTTTTTTTTTTTCCTCTTATTCTTGAGGGGAAGGAAGGGGGAAGAAAGGTATTTATTCTGTACTAGCAGTGGCTCCATCAGGGGGTTGCAGATGGTAGGGTATCAGCTCCAAGGCTAGCTCTCTGACCTGACTACAGAAAAATACATCTGGCAGGGTGGTGGATCCCACCAGGCTCCAGGTTGAACAAGTATAGTTAACCCCTATTTCCAAACAGTGCCATACACAGGTATGGAGAAAGACATACCAATTTCAGAGCCAGAAATAGAGCCGGGAAGGACATTTACAGCTATGTGAATACTTCTTTTGTTTCATTTTGACCAGTATGAACTTCTCAAAAGAAGTTCACCCCATCACACATTTGAAAGAACTCCTGATATTTTTTTAAAGAATGTAAAAAAAACTAAAAGCCTTTTTCTGTATAGCCCAAGCTACCCTAAACATTATGGATTTCCAGTTACAGGGTTAATGGTTACTACATTTAAAGAAGAAATAGGAGAAACCTGAAGATGTTCACCAGTTTAAAGGACACAACTACTTCCTTAGAAAGCAAGAAGTGAAGTTCTTACCTTGATTGCTCGAAGCAACATTTCACGTTCCTCTTCATCCTTTCTCTGCTTTTCCAGCTGATCAAGCTTTTCAAGAAATCTCAGCTGTGCTCTGGTGTCACTAGATACAATGTACCTATCACTCCCCTGGAAAGAGAAGTTTGTTATAGACAAGCAAACTTTCATACACACCACTAGAGCTAATAAACCTAATGGGAACCACCTGAAAAGAACACCACCATTTTTTCAAAGCTGAAAAGCGTAGGCTGTTTTAGAAAGACTTCAGATGGTAGGTAGTCATTTACACATCTCCTCCCCACTGAAGCATGTGTCCTGGCATCTGTGACTAGTAAGAGGTTATTGAAAAAGTGATATTAACAACATCTAGTCTATATTAACTAAAACAACAATAAAATCTTTAAGTCTACAATTTTGTTTTAAACAGCAAATTTACATGTTTACTGTACGTGTACAAGACTGTCTTCTAGACAGGTTAAGAGAAAAAAAAAGAAATGTAAAGCAGCAGAATATTATATCCTTTCCCCTTTAAAGAGAAAGGGTCAAGAAAAAACAAAGTTAGACATTTTAAGCTTCTAGTGTTTGGTGTTCTGGTTTCAGCCATTTAATCCAGAATTTGAAACAAGCCTCAACTGATATCTCCAAAAAGAGGTTTTATAGAGTGGAGGGGTGGTTTAGCACTACTTATAATGAATCTTGGGGGTGGGGAAAGTGACATAAATTATATATGGTTTATTATAGCTTTAGCGATACATATTTTTGCCTCAGTGTGTGCTCTCAAGTCACAGAATAGTTTATGTTGAACAGTAACCTGTGGAAGTCACCTGGTCTAGTCCCCTGCACAAAGCTGGGCCAGTGAATACTGATGAATTGCTCCAACAATAACTGGAGACGTATGCATTGAAACAAGACTATGGTCCTTTTGGTCTAAAAAGTAACAACCAGTTTACTTTTCATACTAATTTTTTTCCCTCTCACTGGAAAGTCTGAGTTCAGTTTTACTTCAGATAGTGAAGAAGGCAGAGAAAGGAAAGTTCAAAAACGTGGTCAACTAGCAATGACGTGCTTGTTTTTACCATTCTGCTCTTCAAAAGACAGGCTATTTAAGCCACGCATTGGCCAGAGGGCTTTAGGCAAAACAAGGCAGGGAGCCCATTCTAGATGAGGCACATCTGTGCCACCTGTTTACACCACTCTTTAATGCACATCCTAGAGTCACCTTCTTTCTCTGTTGCTTTGTGAACTTGTTTTTTCCTGAGAAATTTATCCTTGGGCTTTTACCAGCCAAACATACTATATACTTTCAGCAACCCTTCTTTCTACCCTACCCCAATCCCACACTATAATGAAGCGACCTTGACACACAACTGTTCTGGAATAAGCACAGCATATTTTACAGCTATATTTTAAGAAAGGGTATATTTTAAGTAATAAATTAGTGTTTAAGACTTCATTTTTAAGACTATCAGTGACTTCAGTTGCTAAATTTTTAGTTTTCAAAACCCACTACACTGACACTGTTCTTCCCACACCCAGTCATATACTTTTAAAAGCTGGGAGGAAAGTGAAAGTCTTCTTGTAGGGCACCGTTGTCTCCAAGTCTGAATTCTCACAACCCAGCCAGAGCATAAAAATCAATCCTTCTTCTGGTATAAAGTTTGGCTCTTTTCAAAGAGCCACCACATTGTCATGTATCACCAACTGTGGCTCAGACCACACCATGTGTTGCAACCAAGAAGACTTTCTTTCCCAAGCGGAGCCTGTGGCTCTGCAAAAAAGTTCAACAAACCTTTCCCCCCTCTTCTGCTACTGCTAGAGATTATTTTTTTTTATTGCTCCCCACAAAACATTACGCTACTTTGAGTCAGTCTCAGTACATAAGTACAATTTGTTTTGAAGCTGCAGTTTATAATAATACGCCACCATGCTGTAATCCTTTTAAAGGGACAAAGAAGTAAGCTGTATTACCAGAATATTATTTTTTTTAGAGTTTAGAAGTGTTTTGCTTTGGAATGCCCAAAGTTGGAGTCTGATACTTACATTCTTAAAGCCAAATCCAAGACCTTATTCCAATTAGGAACACAGGCCTCTCAACCAGAATCGCCCCGATGCACTACCATGAGCTTATATGGGACGAGAAACAGGTGCATTCATAACAGTGTTTCAACTCATCATCAACTGTTTTAAGATAACTTATTTCAGGTTTTTAGAAGAGGAATACTTGCAGTTATATTTTGTCTTACTCAATAAACTTGTTCTCTATGATCATTTAGCACTGAATTGCTTTGACAGAAAACATTATGATGTATACCTGTTCATAACTTGCAGCCATTACTGTTATGATGAAGCAAGCTGGATTCAGTTTTTGTCCATGTAACAGTTCAACTTCCTCACATAAGGTCAAACTGTTTCCAGCTACAACAGTGCAATCTCAACAAAACTGAAGTTACAAGTGTAACTGAGAACAGAATTTAACATAGTGATGCAAGTAACCACAATACCGTGAGGTTAGATTTGTATGTGCCAGAGCTGAACTTGTGTATCTGACAGTTAAAAAGTCCTTTTTACTTTAAGTGAGCTAAATTTAACCTGGAGTTCACTCTTTATCTTGAAAGAAGCTGTTGCTTTCACACAAGGATAGCCCATTAGTGCATCTATATGTTCTTGTTATGAAATTCATTCCTCCACGTTTTTTTTTCCCCCCAAGATAAATATACATACCTAAGACTTCTCCACGGATGTGCTCTAAAGCACAGCCAATTCCTACCAACATTTTTACATTAGGTTTACATGTTTGAAACATGCAGCGTGGAAGCAAAGCATTCCTAGGTATGTCTTTAGTGAGAAAAGAGCTGGCAACAAATTCAAGAACAGCTGTACGTCTTGTCCACGATTTGCGACTTCCTTCCTAGATTGTCACATACATGTAAATGAATTTGAAATGCAACTGAGGCACTTGAGGTTTAGCACCAGGAATGTATTGCATGTCCAGGGGCACAAAGGTAAAACCCACATACAGGGAAGCTGCGCTCCACTTCAGTCCATCAAGAAAGAAGTTGGAAGATTCCCACAAAGACCAGTTCTCCCATGAAAAGTGAACAGTTCAAGTCATGTTGAACAGCCTTGCTGAGGACCGAGCAGGAACGCAGGCAGTTGCAGAGGCTCAGCTACTATGTGGGAACCTAGTAAGCTCTGACTTTTTATAGTCAGCTCCCAAACCAAGTTAATAACAGAAAGGCTTGTGATAAGTTACTTCTGCACTCTGCAGTTTGATGGCGGCGTGGAGTGGGTAGGAGGCAGCTGTCTGTTTTCACATCTGGGAGTGCTCACTCCTTCGCTACATTCAGAGCTTACCCCTTAAACCCATGCAGCTGCCACACCATATTGCCCTACAGGTAGCGCAGTTTACGGTTGCGGTGTACTGCTACTGCAGCTCACGGGGAAAATATTTTCATGAAGCAATGTTTACAGCACAGGACTGTACCACGCCTCTCAAAGCCATGGGCTCATGGGCTCCAAACACAGGAGCATGGCAGCCATCTCATGCTGTGCTGAATCCATCCATATTAAAAACGTTTTTTTATCACTGTACTGTTCAGTTGTCATCATTAATTCTGGTCTTGGGTATTGTATTACGTCACATGTGTACCCTTATACCTCAGCAGTTCTACAGATTATAGGAGGGAAGTAGCCAAGGAACCAAACCTACAAGCTAAACACCTTTATGGTCTCACCAAGGCTCTACAAAGGCACTGCAACATGAGTCACAGCACAGAGAGCAGCTTATAACAATCTGAAAGGCTATTCCTACTTCAGATAGAGACCACCATAACGCTTTTATCCTAATTAAGTTAGTAACTTCCAATTATATACCTTTTTTTTAATTTATTTCTTATATTTAGCAAAAAAAGGGCAAAAGTTGGCAAGTCTACATGGTGGCGCGGTGTGACACTTTTACCTTGCCAACTCTCTCTCTCTCTGCAGGGCTTCCCATCAGATGTAAGCTGCTAGGTGTGAGCTGACCAAACGGGGAAGAAGAGTTTCCCGAGTACGATCCCATGAATTATTGGCTTTTTAGACCAACCTCTATGCTAACAATAGTTACCTTGGTTTCACCACACCTATCCCTATTACTGTCTGTCTTTTTGTAATAAACGTAGGCCAATACAAAGCATTACAGGGCAACTACCCAATCCTCTTGGAAAGGCTCTTGGTAATTCTCAGAAATACATGGATCGCACATTGCACACTGGTACCTACCGATAGCCTAGTGTGAAAAGAGGACAGGGGCAAGTGCTGGGGAAAATGGAATACAGGGCTGTGTAAATACATATATAAATAGGTAACAGGTCTCCAAAGCCCTGTAGTATTCTGTTCTTGAACTTCAATTTCAATTTCTAAAAGCCTGTCAGCATCTCTCATAATAACATTACTCACAAACGCAATCCTGTAGGACACTCCTCTGTAGCATTAATACCATCTTCCTAACGAAAGAGGGTACCTGTGCCTCTAGGATTATTATGCCCATTACTTTTTGGTTGGTTGGTTGGTTTGGTTTTGAGAAAAGAGGAAAAGAAAGCAAGCTTATTGCAGTCTTACAATCTTATCATTGCTTCTGGCAATTCAATTAGACAAAAAACTCAGTTTTCTATTGCTTTAGTTCAATGAGAAAGAAATCAGCCCTATCAAGCCCACTGTCCAAAAACATTCCCTTGTGTCCTTGGTGTCTGCAAGACACCAAGTCCTAATGGTTACTCAGGATTTCAGCTTCCACCTCACTTTTGCTCACAAGCTCTATTGGATCTCTCTTTGGAGAGACAACACAGAACATGCGCAGATTTCTGAAAACTTCTCATAAAAAAACTCTATACTTCTTCTGTACTGTTTTTTTTTGCTACTGCATCTCCTTCTGGCAAGGAACAGCATACTCCAACTGCTCCAGACATCACTATAAATATTTGGAAGTTTCCAAATAGTTCCTGCTCTTTACTATTGCTTCTCCAGTGCTTAAAAGCCTATAAAAAGTGTTCAGTACAAAAATAACTCCTATCCCATCAGTTAGTTGCTCTTGTTAAATTTCATTAAGTATAAAGTTCCTATAAAAAAAAAAGCCAAACAAACAAGAACTTATGAGCTGATAGATACATCTGTTTCTAACTTCCACATTTTTTTTTCTAAAAGAGTTTGATACTGAAAAAAGTAAGGGCTAATACTACTGAATGATACACACAAAAAAAAAAACCTCAAAGAGCTATTTTGGCCACTAGTATGTTATTGCTTCCCATTTGTACTGTACAAGCATCTTAAGGGATACTGGTTCACTGGAACCAAATATACTTTATATTCAATGGAGCTAATAAAAGAGGGAGGGGAGGCAATCTTAAGTAGCACTGGTAGAAAAAAGTTCCGGAAACTTTAAGATCAAAGGGGTCTCAGCCTCCACATGGAGCACTTTCTAAAAATAAAATATTCAATTCAGTTTCCCAAGGCTTTTTACTGAGCCAATACTGCAGTTCCACCAACAGTAAACGCATAAAGCAAACACAAGCCCCTAAATCAACCCGACCACCGAGAGCATTCAAAAATAGCTTTACATTTACCATGCAAGACAGATTTCGTATAACAGCCACCATTTCTATAGAACAGGAGGAGAAGAAATGCATGCATTTACTCTCGTGCTGGGTTTTAAGAGCACCTATCCAACAAGTTGAATGAAAAACGTAAGGAATAGTTAGAGGCTATAAACAGTTAAAACAAAACCAGCCTTTGGTAGATACTGAAAATGCACAGATTGCATATGATGTGCCTATATTTGGGAAGAGGTTTACCTTCAAGGCTGCAAAGCAGAAAAACTTTGGTGCAAAACTTGCTTAATGATTTCCTTTACCTTGTGGGTTGATACTCTGTGTTGAGCAATTACAGTTAGTTTTTCTAGGAGCCCTCGTAATCTCTCCTGCGTAGCGTGGGAGATCAAGTTCAGAACATCAGAGTTAAGTTCCATAATGTCATGCCTTTTACCTGTGGAAGCAGAGAAAATCCATTACGTGTTTTAGTAGTAGCTGATAATTGAAATAATTAGCACAGCAGGTATTCTGTTCCCCCTGGAAGTCATACCCATTATGAATAAAGGTTTGGAGATTATGATTTTCCTGGTAAAGTCACAACTTCAAAGATCTTAGACATTACATTAATAAAACTTAGCCTGAAGCTTCAGAAAATATAGACATTGTTTCACTTAGCCTCCAGAACCACTCTCCTTGCAAGGTCATTTATAGGACAAAGTTAATAAGAACACAAATCAAGCTTCATGTTCGGGGAGGGGGAGAAGCAAGTAGCTGTAGAAATTAGTGCCATATTCTGTTAATTCCAGTAATTAAAAAAAATAGAGAATTACATTTTGCCCTGCTTGACACCGTGCTTGTTAACAACTCATGACATTTATTCGATGAGCGGGGATGGCTTTTGCAGCACACTCTGGGCACACGGGACCCTCTCACCTGCCTTGACTGACTGGCGTGGGGCAGACAGACCCAACCATCCCACGGCAGCAGCTCAGACAACACAGATTAAGTCCAGCCGCAGTTACCATGCCATCACCTTCAATCTTTTCTCTTGGGCTGCTGCTACACCTCTCTGTTTCAGCAGCTGCAACTGAGGCTGGCAACTGCTCCAGGCAAAGCCCCATGCCTAGAGCTGGGCATCACCTCCACAACCTTCTTGCGGCTGCAGGCTGCTGACGGAGAAGCCTTCCTGTGGTTGACACCACTGATCACGCAACGCAACTCCGTCACGACACCTGGACAGCAGCAACTTTTCCCTGGTAGGTACAGCAGGCAGCAGTTTCACACGCTTCATACGCCGTATCCGTCAGAAGTGCTTTTCCTTGCCCCTCACTGCATTTACAGTGGCTGTAATACTTTATGATGCAATATACAGCCCGCCTTCAAAACCCACTTGGCAATAAATAATGAAATGGAGTGTTAAGAATGGATAAACAGAAAACTGTAGAAAACACTAATCACCTATTTCATTTTCCTTTGCTACTCTAACTGAAAATGAATAACAATCTTAGAAGACAGGGAGAATCTACAATGTTTTTCCCAGACACAATCAAAGTGTTCCCACTGTTTGATCTTGCCCAGTAAGCATTGGCCTCTACTTTAGCTGAGTGCAAACTTCATTTTGGTCAAGCACCTTTCAACACTTCCTCTGCAGTTTCCCCACTATACTATCAGAATACTGAAACGTCAACTTAAAGACAAAACAAAATCCCCCCCAAACCTCAAGACCTCCCCTCCACACACACTCCCTAAATCAAAGAGGGCTCAGTTCAAGATCAGAAGCATTTGTTTTCTGAATTGCTGTGCTCCCCAACAGTATTCCTTCCCTTGCAATCAAAACACTTTTCATTTACAACATGAATTACTATTATTATTATGTGCAACAGCTACCATGCCAGCCATGAAACAGCCAGGCTTGTATTTTCCATCTTTTAATGAATTGTCTTCACACCCCAAACCAGACAATTATTATAGAAGTACTCTCTCTTTACGTTTTTGTAGAGCTCTTAATTTTCCTTATACCTACTTCCCATGGATAACTGGTTAACCTTCTACAGAATTTTGAGAAAAGCACCAGTTTCAATGTGTATTTTCCCTCTTCCACTAGCAGCACAGCACTTTTACTTCACTCCACTATGCCCCATACTGCTCAGATGGCACATCTGGCTCACTAGTGCCAGATGTATTGCGGTAGAGGACAGCATTTGCAGGTCACATGCTTGTCACAGGCTAGGTGCTTAGTTTGGACTAAGAACCAGTTGCATGTAAAAAGACTTTGTGATCATGTAGTCAAACTACTGTGACAGAATTATGACTGCACATGCAAACAGCAGGCTTTCCTGAGTGCTCAGCTGCAAAACTCACTGTTCCAGTATGGCAAGCTACCAGGCAGAGAGCAGGAGCAAGAAGTTGAGCAACATTCATCCAGTTTGCTGTAGACAGCAGTGGTGCTACACAAATGCATGCTCCCTGCTCTGACATAATACAACATGGCTAAGCAAGTTACTATTGTGCTCGGAAACTAACAGCTGAGACAATACACACACTAAAAACTCCCTATTACACTTTAGTGTCAGTCATTCAACATACATTCCACAGTATTATTCCCCGATACAAACAGATTTAACATCTCTTTTGCATAAAATTTATGAAAGATTCTTCCATAGAGGGAGTCATAAACAAAGGCCTGCCCTGTGCACATTGGCAGTTTGAAATTTCTTCCTAATCACATGGGCAGGATCTGTAACGTTGGTCAATGGAGCATATATATCTGAACAGGCTGAGGAATGCAAAAGCTGTCAAGAAAGTCAGTGTAATGCATCAACTTAGGAGCTGCAGAAATAGAAAAGCACTCTTAATTGTTTGATTTGACATTAGCATCTACATGGTTATGTATTCCATTAACTTTAAGAGTAATGAAGTTGCTCAGTTCTCACATGTAAAATTGGCACCAATTTCTTTTTTCTGGTTGTGCTTCAGACTATTTCCATGTAAAAAATTTGGAGAATAGTTATTTCCTAGAAGGGGAAGTAAAAACTCAGTATAGTTTTGCAGAAACACCCTAATTGAGATTGCAGATGTTAATAGTTCCAGCTCCTTCATTCAAAGATTGGAGGCTGGCTGATGAAACAGACAAGGAAATACTACATCCATATATATCTGTTACAAATGCTTCGTTCTCACCTATGTTCAAGATCTTCTTCTGAAGCACATCCGAAGAGAGAAAAGGATCATCTGCACAAGAGTGGATCACTGTACCAATGAGCTCAGAGTTTGTTGCCAAAATGCACGCATTCTCCTCGTTAAGATTGACCCCAGCCATAGAAGTCACATCATTTATGTCATCTTCATCTCTACTAAAGAGAAATCCAACATTTTATGCTTCATTCAGAATGGATACAAAGAAAAAGCCTCTAGACTATCAACAAACAAGTATCTTGGAGGGTACCCCTATACAATAGATGTTCAGTGTGGGTGTGGACAGACAAGGGACAGACAGCTTTCACACTTCAATGAAGTGCCTCTCAAGTATTAACTTGACTAACGCCTCAGTTACTAGGCATGCAAATCCTTTACATGAAACTGAAATTTTGAGCAAGATCAGAAAGCAAGGACTGAGTTAAACCTGGATTAAAATTCCCCACAAGCCCCCCCCCCGCACCAACCACTCTTACAGCCTGAAATTTGTTCTAAAATTCACCAGGTAGAACCAAGTGTTGAATAAAGTTAGAAATACTGACTCATTGAACTTATAAACGAGCCCATTTTCTAACTGAAATGTCTATCCTATGAACCTAAGCTTATAGCACAAGCATATTAGCACAAACCTGATCTTTGCTTTTCTTTTAGTGAGTTCCCTTAAAAAATAAGATACAAACGCTCCCTGTTAGGAGTATACAGAACCAACCAGACGTTGTCCTTTAAATCAGTCCTACCATACAGTACTTATGTACGTAGCAGGGAGGATGCTATGCTTCTGAAGAACAGCAGCAAAGCTCTAGTTCTTAACATCCCTCTGTCACCTGGATTCTGCTGTAGCAGCTTTGGTCTACGTATTCAAAATAAAAACTCAAGTCTGGCGTACTTTGGTCTAACATAACTAAGACTAGCTACAATCATGGCAAAGCTCATGTTAAGCAAATAGCCTGTGTGCCTCAGCTTTTTTTTTTTTTTTAAAAAAAAAAGGATCATTTTAGTTAAAATACTGAATGAATTTTTATGGAAAGTTTTCACAAGACTTTAGCAGTGAAAATACCCAAGTTATTTTCAATTAAGTTTAGGTTATCAAAAGAAAGGCTTTTTTGCTTCTCAAAGTGACAAAGGCCCTAATGGTGGCTTCAGGGGTTTAGAACCAGAACACAAGTCACCTTTATTAACACAGACAGGTGGAAGCACTCAATCTGAAGGGCTTTTGGTTTGGAAAACAAATAAAATCCAAAAACCAAAACTACCCCCCTACACTCCCAAGTATTCACTGACAAGGTTTGATAAAGTTCATCTTCAGAAAATACTGTGTGGCCTTCATAACTCTTGAACAAGGATTTAGTCAGAAACTTGGCATTCTTAGGTGAAATGGCATCTCTTGGAGGCTGTCTTCTGACTTGCAACAGGTAGAAGCTGAAGTTATTACAACATGGATTGAGTTCAAGCAATACTCAAACGACAAAAGAAAGTGTTGGGATTTTGTCTTAAACTACAGATGCGTTTTCTCCTTTGGGCTTCAATAAGTTTCTATGGCGCAAGTTTTCTCCCACAAACTTCTAGAGAGAAGCCTGGCTAGGAAAGGAGTCCAGCCTTCCCCTACTCCTCCTGCCGTTCCTTTGTTTGCCTTCACAGATAGGAGTTTCTATGTGATTTGTTCTGGGAAAAGGAGACCCAATAGATTGTCAAACAAGCTTCATTCATTCAGTCTAGGCATAGCTTCCTGACTAGGCTTGTGCCCCAGATCCATTGTGCTAAGAAAAGTGTTACACCCTAGGATTGTCAGAATGGTTAAATGACCACAGTCACAACTTAAAGCTGAAGTCACGGCTGCCAGAACAGCTTCCCTCCTCCTACCGCCTTCATAACCAGCAACCAAGCAGTTCCAAGCGTATACTCATGCTCTATCAGCCTAACAAAGACTCTGATCTTTCAAGAAGCGTGTAAATGAAGCTTCACTGCACGCTAATTGAGTGCTAACTGATCTTCACAAGTACACTCCAGTTTCCTCTTCTTAATGACCACTACAGAGAAGTCTTTGCTGATGGCAGAGGCAAGAATCCCACCAAAGAGCGGTGACTGCCACAGATCTGCTGAAAAAGGAAAGCCAGCACAACTAGCGCTGAGAACATACATCACAAGCTATCAGAGCTGCAGATGCTGGAACATGACATTACCCCAGCAGAGCTGTTTATGGAATCCAAGTAAGGATGTTTGCACCTCAGGTACAACTGGACAGCACACAGTTTCAGTAGATTTTTTTGCTTTTAATCTGGCCACAATACTCCAAATACTCATGCAAGAAGAAAGTAAACTTCTATACTATATATCTATCTACCTTTCTACATACACAAGTTTCAATTCCCTAAAACCAGCCTTTATTAGGTTACTATTTTCTTTAATATTTCCCTGCACGCAGTCTCTCTTGGGACTGTACACATACAAGAGCCTATATGCAAGTAGATATCTCTACCTGTACTGTTTATAAGGACCGATTCTAACTTCTTCACTGTGGGATCTAAATTTGGATAAAGTCACTGAGTCACTAACCTAGATGAAAGATTAATTTGCACCTACAAAAACATTTTTGCACTTATTTTACTTAACTCAAAGAAACTATCATTACATTTCCTTAGAAGTACGCTCACTAAAGATTAATGTAAGTTTCAGAAGTCATGTTAAGTTTGTACTTTTTATTGTTCTTTTTTCCTTGCTGTTCAAACAAACCTCAATAATTCTAAGTAATGTATCACGTACTTAGAGTAAACTATAAAAATCATTCTACTAAAGCTGTAAATTTAAAATATTCCAGAGTATACATGCAGACGTTTCTGTTGGATAAAGGCTTGCTTTCATTTTCAGCAATCCCTCGATAAAGCCCCTCTTCTACACCACTTCCTTTAATTGCTTTTTGCATTTGATCATGTAACACCCAGAAATGAACAAGAAAAACTCTCCCAGCTGTTATAAGTCTCCAGTGATTTAAGCTCATCAGGACAAGGGGGGGAAACAAAACATGGGGTTTTGAGCATTACCCTGCATGAAGTCAGCTTTGACATTTGTACTGAATATTCCACTGGAAAAGAAGCCCAAGCAATGCAGATGCACCTCAGGTCTACTAATTTGCCTGTATTGTTTGAAAAGTGAGTCTGTGGCACCCTCTGGTGTTTGACCAACGCACATGTCTTCTAAATCCATCTTTCTTTACTCCTATTTTATACAGCAGTCAAAGGGAAAACTAGAAAGGCATGCTTAACCCAAACGTCCGCGCAGCCTCACGGACAACTATGTGGGACAGAACAATTCCAGCAGAGCAAGAACCACCAGCACTCCCCACCACCACGGGGCAGGATTAGCAGCTGCCCAGATGTTCTCTACTGCTGTCTCACTCCTCTTTGTCTGCTAGTTGAGATTGCTGGTACCTTCCAGACAAAGTGCACAAGTCAGTTGTATTTGCTTTGGAGAACAACTCTATTAAATAGAATAGATGCAAAAAAAAAAAATATTTGAAGATGCAAATACATGCCTTATTGTTTCCAGGGTGCTCTAGCACATACTTTACAGAAGTACATAGAGCAGTTTATAAAAATCTTGATGCTTTTAAAACAGACTACCCTTTACAATACATGCCATGGGGCAATCAAGTGCCAGTAATGTCCATGTTTAGCTGAAATCATCTCATTTCTAGAAGGGTTTTTTTAACTGGGGGGTGGGGATCACCTTTTTTTTTTTTTTCTTTACTGCTTATCTCAAGTAACCAAAACAGCTCATTACAGAGCAGACAAGGTCAAATTGCAGCTTATTAAGCACAGCTTAGTGACTATTACGTTCTTGAATCCTAACCTAACCTAGTCGCACAATGGCAGTCAGGCCTGATGACATACTGCAATGAGAAGCCACAGCTTGAAGTGGCACATATACAATCACATCAATTACAAGATCTACTCTCTGCCTATTACGAATCTCATCACAAAACTTGAAAGGGGGCCATGGTGCTTCTCTCTGCCTCACAAATGATCGGCCAGTTGATGGATCACAGGTCAAAGAACAGCTGTGCTGGGAATAATAGAATTTAGGACAGGACAGAGCAAGGAATGTCTACTGCCCAGTTCAGATTAACACTATGTGGTGCTAGACCTGTTTGGAGAACACAGATCACTTGACCTAGGGAAGCCAAAACTTTAGGTACACGCTGCCCAGGTTCAGATACCTGAAGATTTTCATACATAGTTTTTAAAGTCAGAAAGTTTGGTATCGGTGAATATGTATCTAAAGAAGTAATTTCTTCAGAGAAGAGACTTGCTAGAAAAATTTAAGGTGAGCTAGAGATTTCAAATCTGAATTCTCCTGAATTTACACTACCTTGAAAATCATAATCCAAACGCAGGAACAGAAATCCATCTTGTACCACACTCTAGACACAGAGTTTTTCCTACACTAAGAACTTAACAATTCAGAGAAGAATTCAAACTTCAAGAATTCAAACTTTTTCATTCAAGACAGTTGATATATTCTGATTGGAAGATCACAAAAACAATGTTTCTAGGCTTTTTTGTTGTTGTTTTGTTGGGGTTTTGTTAATGATACTTATCAAGTGATTTTTGCAAATATCACTACACAAAATTGCATCACAAATTATATTTTGAAGTATATTTCATAAGAGCTTGAGGGAGCTGAACAGAGATAATGCTTTAACATGAACTTTTCATTTTAAGTTCTGGTTACCAGTGTTTCAGTGTTCAGTGTACACTGTATGTTACTGTAAATAACAACAGCTCTCTGTCTATACCAGTGCATACAAAGCTGTAGCTTTCAAGACATGAGAAGTCAACTGGTCAACAACACAAAGCTGTCGTGTCTGCTTTTATCACCAAGCTTGGAAGCTTGCCTTAAGGCCGTAAGACCAATAACGCTTACAGCGGTCTGTACCTCTGTTTCAACATCACATTTCAGAGATACAAAAATAATTTCTGCTTTTGAGAAGTTAATGAGTTACCAGAACTAAAAGCTTTAAGCATTCTTGTAATCTAACGGCCTAGAGAATATGCCGGAAGCCATAATTAGAGGTGTAGTCAAAGACTTTCACCTCTACATACAGGAACAAGCTCATAAGAGGAGCTAATAAAACATTTTGTAATACAGCACAGAGCTTTAGACAGGTTAGCAGTCAGTCCAAATAACAGTTCAATGCTACCTGGTGGCCTGTAAAAAACAGGTTATATTTGCTTTAATCCTAAGGAGAGCTTTCAATACAAGGCAACTTTGCTTTAGATTAGTTAATAGCACTCACAGAAAAGAGATCAACATGTCTCCTCTACAAGGGAAAAACTGATACATTTTGATGCACACTTTGTATAATTAGACTCTTGTCACAGCATGATGAAAATCCAACCTCATCAGGACAGTTTTCTTATATTAAAAATAATGAACATCTATGAGGTCAAAACTTCTAGGTTCCCCTTTACCAATAAGTATTCTAACATGGAAACCACCTATCATAAACAAGTCACTAAAGAAAGCTGCTTTTATCTGGGTTCTGTTCCCACCTCTATATTTGCTTCCTATAGTAAACTACTGATATTGTTTATTTTTACCTGAAGGATGTTGGTCCATTCTCTTTTATTTTAGCTTTCTGAACAGGAGATGCTTGAAGGGACAGAATTTTATTTCCTGGCAGGGTGATTTGTTTCAGAATGGAACCTAAAACAAAACAGAGAACATGCCATAGTAGAAAGCAAAATGAAAGACAGACAACTGTTTAATCAGTTAATACTTCTAGCAAAGGCTACTGCAGGCTCAATAACAACTAATTAGGCCCATTTGAAAACCAGATACTCGAGTCTTACATTCTGCATATTCTGTATGGCCAAAAACCCTACATGCTCTAAGCAAACACCCTCCTCTGTGCTGAACAGTGAAAGGTTTTAGTGAAAACTGCCTGGCTGAGACAAACTCATGTTATGCATCAACCTGGACCCGTTGAAGGAAAACGCAAAGTCTCACGAAGCGATTCTCAAAAGCATCACAGTTTAAAGGAAGTTTACTGCAAGGAGCTTACTCACAGTATTTTAACAAGTATATATGTTTGATTGACATGCTTTTAACAGGTGACAGAAGTCGACATGGTACTGAGTATCTTATGACAACTCCAAGCAGACTGTGAAAATGTTCAGCTTCTCGCACAGAGCCAGTTGCTCTCAAAAGAAAAACACCATCTTACATTCCTACAATCTACCAACAGTGTCTACTCATTTCTATACCTCAGCAGCCGTCTCCCTTCCCCATTAAAAGGTTCCACCGTACCTGCAGGAAATTGGTTAGTTTGAACAAGCGTATTCAGCGGCATCCTTTTCTCAGCAGATGTCTGTAGGGTCAGTGTTGAGGGTTGCGGGAGTGCAGACACTTGCTTTACAACGGTTCCTGATGGTTGCTGGACTACCTGAAAGTGGAATATCCAATATCAAGAGTGAGAAAAGCTAAACAGAGAGAGAAGTAAATAGTATCAACATGTTCAGCCAGCCAGAAGTGCCACTAGGCATGCATACATGTCTAGCTTTCAGTTTAAAGCAAACAGCATGCTCAGAATTTTTTTTTTTTTTTTTTTTAAATCATAGAATGCTTGAGGCTGGAAGGGACCTTAAAGATCATCTAGTTTCAATGCCCCTGCCGTGGGCATGGACACCTTCCACTGGACCAGGTTCCTCAAAGCCCCATCCAGCCTGGCCTTGAACACTTCCATGGATGGGGCATCCACAGCTTCCCTGGGCACTTTATTCCAGTGTCTCACCACCCTCACAGTGAAAATTTTTTTCCCAATATCTATTCTAAGTCTACTTTCTTCCAGTTTGAAGCCATTACCCCCTGGTTTGAAGCCATTTAACTTCACAACAAGAAACAAAATCTTAACAACTTGGTGGTGAGCTTTAAAGCCCAGCTTAATCAATGAGCTCTAGCAGACACTTCACCCGTGCTCTCTATTGAGAACTGTATTATACAAATTTCACTGAGGACTACACAATCCATTACACTGAGGCTTTCCTCTCCGTAAGTCTTGCTTAACGGACTAACTATTGAATATTGAGTCTGTTTGCCAACAAGTTCAAAAGGGCAGGTATCACATACACCTAGTTAAAAAGAGAGAACACCAAAACAAACAGAAGTCTTGCATGAAATCCTTTTCCTGCCAAGAATTAAGAGTACACACTATAAAGTTACTAATGCATTTTTGGAGCCGCAACATCAATTGTAAATTGAGATGCTGAGTTTTCAAGTGTTAAGCAAAAGTACACTGCACACATCAGTTAGCAGGAACATGAAGTACCAAATAGCAACACCTATATGGAGTAGAGCCTCTACACAAAAACATCGGTACACTGCTGAAGGGTAAAAAGGAAGGGGGTTGATAGTTTTGTTTAAAGAGGCACTTGAAAGAAACAAAACCAGACAGCAGGATGTCATCACAACACAAAACCTACAGGCACAGCCCATAAATACTAATTCTTCCTCTTCAGGGGTAGCTATTAAAATGCAAGAAAATAATAAAATTGCAGCATCCCCAAAAGCTTCATTTCTAAGCCTCCTAGCTAGCAGAATGCAGGCTGCAGCTTTTGATATATCCTTTGGAAAAGTTCTTGATTATAAGTAGTAGAAAGATGAGCTTTTACCAAAGCACCTTTAGATTGAATCATACTTTTTTAGCAGCAAAAAGCTAATACAAAAGGAATTTCCAAGGTAAAGAAACCACTTTTTCTCCTCTACGTCTTTTATTCTAGCTTCAGAAAGTCTAAAGAGCACTTGCACAGCAACACTGCACAAGTTTAATTAAATAAAGAATTGACATTTATTATACTTCAGAAATTAGGCTGTCTCCCTCTTTCATCTAAATTCAGATTTATCAGTAAACATCATCAGCATAAGTATCACACATTCACAAAAAGAGGTACTTTGCATATCAAATAGTCAAGGTACGCCCCACCCACCCCCATATTAATCTGTGTCATGGTTTGGCATAGCAGCACGAACATAGAACAACTGAGCTGAAGGTGGTGTTTGAAAACCAGACAATGAACAGGTAGTTCTTGAGAAGAAACATAAGATCCGTATCTCCTGACTTTTCATGCCGAGGAAATAACCATGGGAGTACAGGGACAGACTGCTGACAGAGTCAAGGCTCACACATGCAGCACCACCTTGCGAACTGGTACACACAGTCACATTTGCTTCTATGTATTTTTATGGAAACACAATTTGATCCTTCTGAAAGATCCAGCTGCGATGTGCTGGAAGTTGAAAATAACGTTAACAGCATTGTTTATGTGGTCAGACAATTACTGAACCACTGACCAGCTTGGATAAACCAGCACCTCCACTAATACGCACCTAGAGATCCTCCCTACCACCAGCAAGAATGATGCTTCATCTTCAGCACGCAAAACACTGAAACAGCACAGGAGGAAACATAAAGCATTCAAGATGAAGGTATGGCAGACAAAAAGAACAGAGATAGACGATGTTAAATCAATAGCCTAGGTGGAGATTGGGAAGTAAGTCAAGTAACTGAGGAGACTACATCAACAAGAAACAGGAAGTATGTGTTGGAAGTAAAGCTGATTTTGTGTTTGCTTTTCTAGCTGCTAGACTAACAAAAGCTAGAAGTCCTTGGGACCTGCAACAGAACAGGGCAACAATCCTAGAAATGTTGACAAGAATCTAATGCCAGAAAAATAGATAATATCTGTAACAAAGAGCTATTGCCTCTTTTCTTCAGGTTAGCAGCAAGAAGTAATAAAGAAAAGGGACTGCTCTTTTGTGCCCTGTTAAGTAGTTTGACAGAGACATCAGAATAAGAAGCATCAACATTTAAGAAAAAAAAAAAAAGCGATGTAACATCCATCTGACAGCATAGGGACAGCTGCCTGAGACAGACATTGATTAGCCTTACTGGAACCTGTTTTGCATTCATAAAGTGAAGCTCAGAGATAGCAGAGAGATGGTAAGCTACCACTACACACCACAAGCAGTATTGCTTCCTGAAGGAAGCGTCACCAGCTGAATGCAAAAGCATACATTCACGACAAAAAAAACCTCTCGAAAAATAACAGAGGAGATTCTCTGCTCAAGAAAGCTCAGCTCTGAGGGGACTTGACACTAACAACTCACTAAGAACAAGTGGTTGGAACAGCACAAACACCACTCCTTGCTTCAACCGCTAGCCATGTCCAGGGAGCATGTCTCACTGGTAATTGCAGGAACTACACCATAAAACTCTTGCTCTTTATGCTTAACATGAAGTTGTAGTCTCACAGCAGCTTTTGCACCATTGGAAGCCAGCAGCTGGTAATGTAAATTTTCATTTATTGTGCTTCAACAAGAGACAAAGCAATACTGCAGCAAACAAGCCTTCTTTCCAAGATGAAACCTCTGTGTATGCCAATGCCCTTAAATGAGACTGTGTTAAGAAAGTCACTGGGAGGGAACCCTGTCCAATGTGCAACTCTCACAGCACAGACGTGCTATCAACCCCAACAGCATCCCTGAAGAACAGATCCCTCAGTGCTTACCATAAAAACCCAGAATTGTGATAATTAAACCACAGAAAACACAGTTACATGTTATATCACTCCGGTCACAATTCTGAAGTTAAAATATTACAGTGCTGCATTCTTAAGCAGCACCAACATTACATCGGAGCTGGCACATGAAATTCCACTTTACATTCCCAAGCACAAGAGACCTAAATTAGAAATGGGCATGCAGAGGGAGTGTATGGCATCAGACAACCCTGTGGGCTGGAAAGGGAAAGAAATTGCTGGCAGTGTTGTATGGACAGATTTGCACAGCTGGCATGAGCTTCCTTTCAGCTGGCAGCAGGACCCTTCTGTTTAGGGAGGGGAGGTCCAGATTTCTTTTCTGATGGGAGGAAAACAGACCCTCTGTCCTTTCAAGGAAATGCACCAGAGAAGCCCTAGAAGATGCAGCCACTTCTACAAACTTGCTCTTCATGCTAATAGGTTGTCTGAATCAACACCAAGCTCCCGATATGTCTAAGCTGTGAAGCGGTCAACTCAGCCTTTCAATTACAAGACTAAAATTAAATAGGTATTTTGAAGAGCAAATCTTTTAATCACTGTGCCTGGGATCTACCCAAATAAGGATGAAAACATGTTTTGTATGCAATTCAATGCTTGTAAGGTACAGTGAAGAAAAGCAACTGCAATAGGCTGCCACACAGCAGTAGTGGAGGAGACAGAAGTAATTTCTTGAGTTCACCAATATCATATTCAAGAAGCGTTTCGACTCCCCAGTGTAGAGTTAAGCTTCCTTGTCTATTTGTACAGATGGCCAACCTTTCCCCTGGATTACATGGCTTGCTGTGTAGCCAACAAACTGCTCTCCAGCCCTTGTACAACCTAAGAAGCCCTCATTTACTTCTGGCTGGAATTTCAAATTTAGTCCTTAAAGATAGTGAGGGTATCAACTCCTTTTCCAATTTGGCTTTAGCTACTACTATCAAAAACTGTTAGTGCATATGCTTGATAACTGTTTTTAAAACAAACCCACTCATAAAAAGGACCCCCATCCCCTCCATCTAGCTGAGTGCTTTGTTCTTTTTAAGCAAGTCTGAAAAGGCAAAAAGCTGGTAGCATAAGCTCTTTAATTTAGAATGCAGGATTCTTGTATTACATTGCCTTATGCACTTTAAAAGGGAGAAATTTTAAAAAACAAAACATTTCAGGGGCCTGAATACTGTTAAATTAAGTATACACAATAAACAAACTACAAAGAATATTCACACCCTAGATGCCCTACTATACCTGTAGAAAGTAAATCTAGCTTCCTATGAAGTCTAATGTGTTCCCCTCTTTTTAAGGAACAAATCTTTACAAGGAAGTCCTATTCAAGAATCAAGTTCTTTATGTGCCAAAGGGAGACTATTCTCTCAAAATACTTGAGAACATTATTTGTGGGTAGACCAGTCAGACAGCATACTACTCAGTATCTCAAGCACCCATAAACCAAACGATGTATTTCACAGCATTGCTCTTTTGGGTATACCTGTGATCCGCAGTTTGTTGGTATTTAGCATTAACATTAGCAAGAAGTTAACCTGTGCCAAGAAAAAAATGTTAACACATTGCTTTTGAGGGTATTGTTTTAATAAGACATTTATTCCTCCAGGAATTTGTTAGCTAATGAGGCCTGATAGAAAAAGCTCACTTTTGGATGACTTCATAATTAACATGTCTTAGTAAATCTGGAGGTCGGAACTCTTCTCTGAAAAGCTCCTTGAGCTAGTTTGTATATTGCAGTTAACATATCACTAAACATCATCGAGCCACCTGTGCCTGCAAAATATCCACAGTGGGAACTACCAAGATAGAGAGACTGGAATCCCTTGTGGCTAGCTGAGGCACAGCCCTGACAGGGCATTTAATAGTAATTAACCTAAGCATTCCATCACCATTTTCCGTTTCTGACACTAGTATTTCCTGCTTTTTCTTTCAGATGCCAGCCCAGCCTGGCTGCACGCATCGCAAGGGTCAAAACTCATGTTCCCTCGTGTCTCAAGCTGGATGTTCAGTCTGGTTGAATGGTGGTCTTGCATAAGACCGAGGTTACAGCTTGGCTTTAGATTCACCTTTTCAGCAAGGGCTCAATATCCTTAACTATGACAAACATAACTTATGAACTCATGACAGTTTAGCTTGTGCTTAACTCGTGACAAGCTAGCTCCATATGTAAAAAAAAAAAAAGTTAAGATCCAAATTGGTATCCTCTTTACAACACAGTAAGAGTCAGAGTATAAAGAAGCCCAGCTACAGAGAAGCCGAGAAAATAATCTTACCAACTGTTTCACTTTAACCACCTGCTGAGAACCCACTGAACGCGCCACGATGGAGTTTGGCTGTGGGATTTTAATACTGACTGGGGTTCCAATGACTGGTTTCAGAGGCTGGAGAGGGGTTGCTGCTGAAGATGCCGCTGTAGAGACCAGTAGTGGCTTTGCAGACTGGAGAGAGGATGTTGCTACGGTAGAGCTGAAGACTGGCTTGACAGTATGGATAGTAGTCAGCCCTGATGTTGCTATCGTTGTGGTGAGGACTGAAGCTGCAGGCCGAAGAGACGCTGTCACCACTGCAGAGGAAGGAATAGGCTTAGGCTTCACAGTCTGCAGAGAAGCTGTCGCCAACGCACTGGCAATGACTGGTTTTATAACTGGAGTAGCTGTGACTGTTACAGAGGCCGACACTGATTTTGTAACTGGAATAGAAGTTGTTGCTACAGTTGAGGTTGCCACCGCTATCGAAGGAGCTGGTGCTGCAGAGGCACAAGTCGAAACAGCATCTTGGGTTGGAGCTGGCTGCTGCATACACTGCTGGATAAAGCTCTGAGCATTGGGCATTAGCTGCCGTAAAGCAAGCATGCTTTTCTAGAAGAAAAATGAAAAAACACTGGACATATCAGCAGTCTTACACAATAGCATTAGCAACTGAATCTTATTCCTTATCTTCCAATGTATTTTTTCATGAGACAATCAATTGCTTATTCTAAACAAGTTTTGCTAAAATTCAGGTACCCTTAAATCGATGACTATATGGCTCAGTGAAGACCACAAGAATCACCAGTACAGGCTGAGAAATGGTCAACAGTCACCATGGCTTCACTACATGTAGCAAATCCCATCTATAGGGAAACTCACCCCTAGCTTTGTTCTTTTGTTTCGATTTTTTAATTTGAAATTTGTGCTCCAGAAAGACCGTTTTAACTGCTTTACCACCTCAAAAAATTTTGGTTTTGCCAAAACCCCCTACTATAATTTATCAGCTGTGCTTATTCCACGGAGCCTGCCTGACAGAGAACTACAAATTATCCAATAAAGTCAGAAACACGCTCTGAAGATATGAGCATTTCTATACCAATACAGCTGTATCTACACTAGGGGGGGATACCACTTTAATAATGCCTGTATAGCTGCAGCAGCACAACTTAAGCCAGATAGTTTTCTGCAACAAGAGAACATTAGTAAAGGTATCTAGCAACATCTCATTTTTACTACAGCTATGTTTGAGAAGGTTAATGGACAGAATAATCTTCAAGCCGTCTACAGATTTTTCTCCCTGACTATTTACAATCTGTTATGACTCAGAACCAGGGGAAATCAGTTCTGCAGCTACATGTATATTCTCACAAACCCTTCCCCCACCCCCAACAGCTTCTGAAGTTTGTAAGAGCCTTCAGCGCAGTGCTGTTGCTCTGGGCTTCATGCAAAAGGAACATGTTGTCTCACATGCTAATATATCAAGTGAACAAATCGTTTGGACAAATTGTTTGGACATCTACACTTTCTGTGGCACACCTATCTTTAATGTTCACTTTGTTTTCTTTTAAAAGGCTGTTCAGCTTTCCTCATGCTCCCAATGCAATTTATTTACCAAAATACCAGAATTGATTTACCAAAAGCATCCAGCACAGATTTTAAAAATCAAGCAGGCTTTACAGCAAAAGTCGCTGTACTTTTCCACCTATTGGAACAGACAAAACAAAACACATGCAACAACTTCAACAACAACCTGCAGCTCAAAGATAAGAGACAACTCCAGAGAGTCCTCCCTAAAATTCCACTTCACTAGCTAAAAGTGAATTGGCAACCCGCTGTATTATATTTCTTTCCAGACTTGAGCTGCAAGCACTTCACCCCCAAACAAGGACAGCACCAAATCTTGTCTCACTTTAGAGAAGTGCTCCTGAAGTCAGCTTCCCTTTGGCACTCAGTCCTGTCACAGGTGCTCAGAGTTACAGACCAGACCTAACTGGTGTGTATTAACACATCCTTAAGGTATTTCAGAAAAAAGCAATCAGGGTGCAAGATGTTTTAAAGGATGGGTAACACTACAAAGTCAGCTAACTTTGACCATGACAATGTCTAATCGACATTTCTGAAGTCACAGTATTTCTTTGTTAATATAGCGTGTAGTAGGGACAGAGCACCTTGTCAAAGATTATAGGATATGGAAACTGCCCCAAAAGCCTAGATGATACCAGTACCTGGCAGGAGAAACATGCAACAGCTCTGCTGTGATGGGTCAGGTCTGACCCATGCTGATGAACCCAACTCAACTCCTGTAGAACTGCCTCAAGGTCTGGGCAGCCCCCGACATTGTGGGATGGCTTACTAACTCAGGCCAAGCACTTCTGCGAGTCCATGAGGACAGCACTGTCTCTGAGCTAATAAACCCTTGGGGGACCCAAAAGGGTAGAAGGATTAGCAAGTGCTGCACAGCCACCCCTTGGCTCAGCTCCTCTGTGTGAACAAGTCCAGGGCTGTAAGGGCTCACCAGCCCATGATGAAGTCTAGCTGTGCTAGACTTAGGCTGTGTCTGCACGGAGCTACTGAGGTTCACCTGCACTGTTTTGGGAACACAACACAGGGGCACCCAAGCTGGCCCCACCCCACACACACAGCCAGCCTATGTCCAGCGGGGTTCATCAGCCAGGGTCCTACAGAAGGCAGCTCCACTACTTCTGAAGTCAAACTTGCCCTGGCAGTTAGTAAAGTTCTGCTGAGAATCCACACAGCTCCTAGGAAACCTCTGCTAGTCACACTGACCCTGCACTCACAGCCCAGTCCTTCTGCAGTCAGAGCTGCACTGGATGTAGGAAAGCCCATACTCTGCGCTGTTTGTTTCTCTAGCTTTTGCAGGGGCATTTAAGAAGCCTCCAGGGAGTTAAACAGAGAATAAATAAATGACCAATATGACAATCTTATATCAAGCCCTGCAGAGACGACTGTGGTCTTCTAGACTCACGGCAAACTTGCTAGCAAAGCTTTTAAAGCCACTGAAACAAAAATATTCATCCCCCACTTGAACAGATTAACACCAGCCATCTAAAGTAATATCAACATTATCTCATGCATTGTTACATGTACTGTCAAATACTATGGAGGAGGACAAACTCCAGAAAACCTCTGTTCCAGCTTTACCACTAAACTATGCTTCCTTGATTCTCCACCACGCCAATGATGAATGCCATGGAAAAATACAGATCCAGCAAGCCGAAGAATACTGAGTACATTGCAATTAAGTAAATGTAACCAAGTTTTCCTTGTTTTCACTGGGATTTAATGCTTTCTGTACAAAGATGTTCATTCTTGTTTTGTTAGTATTATTCTATCATATGATTAAAAGCGTTAAGAGAGCATTTTTTTAATTTGCGTGATTATTTGCTTGAATGGAGGTAGAGTTGTCTTGGGTTACTTTTCCTAAGCTGCAGTGGTCCTGTCAGACCTTTTCTGGAGAAAGGGGTGGGGGGTTTTCTGCCTTCAGTTAAACACAAACCAGCAGGCAGATGAATACTAACTTTACATAGATTCTTTGAGCTTAAATACTGCATAAGCTGTGCACAGCCACTGTTGTCAGTCTTTTGTATTAGAACTCAGAATAGCTATAGCTTTGATGAGAAAATAAGAGGTCACTTAGTATAGCTGCTCTACTGTAGATGCACCAGCTTCCAAAACATCAGTATCCACTAATGACTAGAGGGTAATTACTCTCCAATTTAAGAACGAAGAGTAAATTACTCCTCTGAAATCCTTCCTCCCCCCAAAAATTGTCTTTCCAAGAGCAACAGTCACACAGAGCAGGGTTAAGCACCATTTCCTCAACTGACCTGAGCAAATACCTATTTGAATGCTCTGCCTCTTTTCTTTTCTGGTCCTCCTCCCTCCCCTCATTAAATACTACATATCCACAATCAGACACTTACCTTGAGAAAAGGAACTAAATAGGGTTGTGGAGACGACTTGAGCTCTACATAGAGCTTTTTTGTAAATTCTTCTGGTTCAATTTTTGCTTCCTAAGGGGAAAGTATAATCACAATGGTAAGTTATAACTATGAATCTCCAACATCTTTTTCCCAAGTGTATCAACAATTCATGGAAATATACATTATTGTGGTATTGTTAAAATGTCAATACTCAAATTTGTTTTCCTCTTACGTTTTTAAACAAAAGGTTTTAGGATAGAATGATCTTGTAATTTATATACAGTATTATCAAATTAAATTACTTTCTTAAACTCTAGGCAGGTAACACACTTAAGGATACTTGTTCAAACACCTCACTGAAGTGAACTGATAGAAACAAGGTTATAAGTAGCACTGAGTAGCAATGAGTACCTCATTGTTATGCAGAAATATTTAAAATCCACCCCAGTACTTTTTTTGCTGTAAAGGCAGTTTATCTGCATAAAGATCAATTTAAAGAGACAGGAGACAAAAGACAACTGGTAGTTTTTGTAAGACAATTCTAGCCTAATGCATGCGTAGCATAATAAAGCAGAACACTTAACACCCTCTTTCAAAAGCAGGAGCAACTGAACACCAGAACATCACTTCTGCATACCACTATGGCAACAGTCATCTGGCTTGTGGAGTTCAGTCTCCTTTCTTAATGCTCTGCCCCAACACAGACACCTGACTCAAGAGCTTGGGAGGGTTAGGAAGCTGCAGTGGACTTCTGAGACCCCCGCCACTCACTATTTCAGTGCCACCACGACAGGTCTGAGATGGCGGGTAGCCCGAAACACTGCTGCTCTTTCTCCCCCTCCCTGCCACAGAGTCACCAAGAACTTTACCTCCTCTAAGAAGGTACAGACACACAAGGAAAAGGGACCCCAGCACGAATCTCTGTCTCTGCAGAGAAACTACTCCTTTCGCCCATACTGTCCTTTGGAAGTTCCAAGGAGCTACATGACCAGAACAGGGGTTTTAAGGACTGTATATTCACAAACAAACAGAACTTAGAGCAGCTCTCCTATTTAGTCATTTGATCTGATGCCTGTTAGGTCTCACCGAGCTGCGGATACAGGTCACTGAGGTCTCACTGATACAGACATAGGGATTTGGTATGCTACATCTCAGTACGTACAAGGTGCTTGGACACCCACTTCATGAGATGCTGCCTTAAAGACCACTTTCATTCACCACTGCCATTTACTCATTTCCCTCATACATATGAAACATAAATTTATTTTGCATTTAAATCATATACACATACTAAATGGTATAAGAACAGTATTTTTAAAATACTACAAAAGCAAACAAGTGCACAGTTAAAAACATATTAATGTGTATTAACAACTGTTCTTAAAAAAAGAAAATGAAAGTATTGTAAGCACAAGAAGGAACAATTGTAGTATTTTCTTACAGAAGCCAGGTATATAGTCCAGCAGGGACACAGAGGCATCAAATTTTTGCAAGGCTGCATCTTTTAACAGTCTGCTTTCTTAAATTACACCTCCATCTACACCATGCTTTTCTAGACTGAAAAGTCCTTTGGTACCGCTAGCAAAGCCATCCCCCTCCATCAGCCCACAGCCTTCTGCTACAGTGGAACAACAAAACAGCAGCAGCGGTCAAATGCCAGGACAAGAAGTGGCACGAGAAATCGTTACCAAGAAAACCCAGCTGTGCTGGGGTACAGCACAAAGCAGCATACGGAAGCCACCTGCAAGGAGAGAGAGAGGTTGGCAGCCACAACATTATTTTCTCCAATGCCATTGTCTGAAGACATAGGTAATGTCATGCTTGTTCCACTGGAGCTTCACTATCAACCTGTAAGTCAGTTCTGTCTCGAAGTAAAGCAGTGGCATGGACTTAGCGCTGCACTACAACCTCCACGGTAACACTCTTGCCATTGAGGAGTCAAACCTACACTAACATGAAAATAAAGCAGCTTAGACCCAGAAGTTACATTAACACTATTAGCTCCTCCAGCTGTCAGTTACCTGTGTGCATGAAACAGGAACGTTGGGGAGGGGGGGAAATACAGCACGGGATTCCGTTAAAATAGGAGCTATAATGTAAGACTTACAGGGTCAGATGTACTCAGCCACAAATCAAACTCTTCAGATGTTTAAAAAAAATAAAATAAAGACAAGGAACAAAACTAAGATGAAGTCAATGTCAAAAATGATACACAAATGATGCAGACTTTGTTTAAAAAAAAAAAAAAAATAATCTCACCAACAGATTTTGCACCAGATTCTTCACATTCTGCCCCATCTCAGAGGCTTGAGGTCCACTAGATGCCAGTTTTATTAGTGTAGCGAGAAAATTCTTGCATTTCTTTACATTCTCTAGCATCTCCTAGAGTGGAAATAAAGAGAAGTCTGTTAGATGTTGCATTGGCTCTCCAACCTCTGATGAATATAGAGAATGTTAATTTTTAATTAAAAACTTTTTTTTTTTCCTTACTGTAGAAGCGCTGGTCTGTGCTACTGTTGTGCCCTCTGCTTTCACAGAGACTGCCTTTTGGGAGATAGCTTGTGCAGGTGGTCCTGTAACTGGAAGTTTTACAGGTGTTCCAGTACTCAAAGGCTTTATAGCAGTAACTGTAGTAACACTAGCTGTTGCAGCTGCTGGCTGAAAAGAAAAATTAACACTTTTTAACGAAGGACTAACGTGACAAACATACTGTATTCTGCTAGCGTACAAGGTAGCACCCTCCCTCCACACTACTATTTAAAACATAAATAAACAATTTTTATCTTCATTTTTAGAGTTTTGATTCCTTTGCTTTGAGAGTCTATTCAACACAGGAAGCGACAGAACCCCCACAGCCGTAATTCTGGTTTTAAATCAAGGGTGGGGGGAAGAAACGGCAAAGGTTCACCCAGACTGAAGTACTGCCTGAAACTTCAAGTGAACTGAGAAAGGTAAAACTGTCTGGAAGAAACCAATAGACTAACTTTGCCAGGCTCCTACAATTTAAGACTAATGAGTTTTGGACAATGATAAGCCAGTTGATACTACTCTGAAGAGAAATATGACCTTAAGTGATTATTTATCTTCCTTTCTTCTCCTACAGCTCATCTCCCAATTGCAATATCCCTTTCTCTTCCTATCACACACGCAGTAGGCGAAAGATGTTGTGTCCACTTTGGAAGGATGTATGTGTCAGCAGAAGCAGCCAGCTGAGCAAACGCACCGAACAAGTTCTTCCTGCTTTTCCCTTGTGGGCAGCAATTTGGACCTCGCTCTCCTTTGCCCAGACACAAACCCTCACAAAATTCAATTATTTTAAGACCTCTTTTTAAAATCTCATTAGAATTTACCAACAGATTCAGAAGCTCCAGCAACAGGAGGGTAATGAAGGTTTAGGAAAAATAAAGAACACACTTGCCTCTCTCCTTTGCAAACCAGGCTAAACAGTAGTTTCCAGAGGAAAATTTACTAAACCCGAGTATTTCTGCTTCAGATTTTAAAGAAAAACAAACAAACAAAAGAAAGCAATCCCACCCCACACTCAAAAATGCACCACAGTTCTTCTGATACAACAGAATACAATATGAGTAAAAGACATTGCCTCTACCAAAACCACTACTATTGATTTCTCAACTTGATAACTAAAAAGCCAGATTGAACCTGCAGGACACACAAATAAGCGAAAGTTTCAGGTTCTCATTTGAAACCTGAAGTTGAGTGTCATTTTTCCTCCAAGCCTCCCAAGAGAAAAGGGAAGCCTGGTTTTGTAGACCAAATTCTACATTCAGATCTCTGCAACACAATTGCTTTCACTGACACACTTAAACACCACAGTCTTTTTTCAGCAATCACAAATTAATACTTGCTAATTGCACTAATGATAAAACAGTAGCACAAGAGCCCAACTTAACCCTTCCATGGGTAAAACAAAAACAGTTAGACAGACATAATGAAGAATATCAAAGGGCTCTTAAGTCTTTCAGGATAGGGAAAATTAGAGAGCAAACATTTAGAGCAAAACACTCGCGCTTTTGTTGTTTACCTATACACTATTTTTTTTCTTGGGTGGCCCCCCCGCAAGCTGCTGCCAGCTTGACATGAAAGAAGCAGGCAGCTACCAGAAAGCTTTCCAGCTTAGGCTCCCACTGTTGGTAACACTTTAATAGCTCTCTGCAGGATCTTTGCTACCACCACTGCCTCTTCCAAGGATGAGGCTCAACAGCTCTAAGACCATAGGGAGGCAAACTGGGCACGAGAATCCCACAAACAGATGGACGGGAGGAAGACGGAAGGGGACAGAGTACAGATCTGTCAAGTTGCAATGCCCTGGGCTTTTAAAAGCCGAAAACATGAGGTTCACAGGAGCTGATCTCTTGCAAATTCCAGTGTGTTTACACATCAAGACCAGAACGGCATTTTATCAGCTGAGGGAGGGAACAACAGGAGGTCTGCTGGACCCTTTTCCCAAAAAGACGAATATATGGGAATTAACTTCTGTCATCTGCCCTCAACCTTTTTCACTACTGACAATTCTCATTCTCACTTCGAGCAACAGAGAAACAAGTTGCCACACAAAATGGCATTAATCCTGCATATTTTGCAGTCATTTCAAGAGAAGAAGTGCTCTGCATCTAAATGAAACTGCCCCAGCATGATGCTAATTAGATACTTTGCAGCTTCGTTACCCCATCTGGGAAGAAGGTAAAAAATAAAAATGTGCAGGTATTTTGTCTAACCTCAGACCTTAAACATTCAGAAATGACAACAAATGGAAATATTTTTGCAGATGATGAAATTAGTCCTGGAGTCAGTAACTAGAGAGAGTTTTGCAGATAGTAGTGTTCCAAGTTGCACTTCGCACAGGATAGGAGATACACAACCAAGCCAAGGATTATATCCTCTCCACTGTCTCCCACTTTTTGTGATGATGTCATACTTCCACACCAACACTCCTCTTCTGTGACCTCAAAAAATTGTCAAGGCTAACACCAGAAAGTTCTTCTAGGACCGACGAAGAAAACAGGTGCCAAGGAAGTCAGACCGAAGGGCTTTTCCTTTCTTTCCCAAGACGGTTCCTGCAGCCTTATGCACAGACACCCTTGTCGGCACTCTTCTCTTGTCCTCCCCAGGGTAAGGAATGAAGTGGCCCTGTGATGGCAGGATGTATCCATATTTACTCTTTACTCTTCATTGTATTACACTATTAATTACACTATTAATTTTTCCTAGAGTCATCTTTCCTGCTGTTTAAGCCCAACGTTAGAAGCATTCAAGATCCTACAACTAAAAGAAATATGGCTTACAAAAAATACTCCATGTCTACCTCTTTAAATATCTCAGAAGAACACAAGTTAAACTGATTACATCAAAACTGAACCAAGAAAGTACAAAAGAACCAAGTCAAACGCAGATGTAAGTTAAAAAAAGGAGAAGTTAACAGCACGATGAATCTCAATGTTTATCCATGTGAGAGTGTGAGGATGCAGGCAGGTTCATCCATCAGATGGAAGAAATCTTTACCTTCGTCTCTTCTCCCCAGTGCAAGGATAGTACAGCAGATGACTAGTGCTTTTACATTCCAAAGGTCTCTATGCAGAGATCACACATGTGTGGTTTGCAAGCTAGTATTCCAAAATAAAAGTGAGTAAGGAATACCCGTTACTGTCCTCCTTAGACACAAAGCGTATGTTGTTCCCATTCTAAGCAAAATAAAAAGTGTATTAAGAGAGGCCTCTGGGTTTTCCCCTTTAGCCCCAACATTATCCATCTGTAGTGAGAAGGAAGAGAGAAAAGATCACAGACAGAGCTGGAAGTAGTTTTCACTTGCTGATACCAAAGAACAGCAGGAGGACAAATTTATAAGTCAGACTGTTAGTTACCGCTGTCAGTGAACACATCCTCCAATCCTTCAAACACCCTCAAGGTCAAGAACATACATCCAGCACATTTTTTGAATGACTGATCCTGCTCATTTACTGAGTGCTTGGTCAACTGCTACAGCCCAGTCTCCTTCAAGCTCTTGTTCACAAAAGAAAAGATATGTGCAAGGCAGACTTCTTCCGATTTCTCCTCCAGGTCACGAGGAGAACAGAATATTTTAGCAGCACAAAGAAGCAGTTTTCTTTTCATCACACGTGCTTATCCAGAACTCTGTTCCCCAAGAACAGAGTAAGAACTGTATCTAGAAGTCTCATACTCTACAGGTAGCAAGACCCTCTTCAGAAGAGTCCTATAACATTTTTATCTGGAAAAGGAGAAATAAGACCTAGGAAATAAAACAAAAAACACTACCTAAAAATAATGAGGCATTTTCAACCACTGTCTCTTTACAGTCGTATCTGTGGAACTGTCTGCCAAATTCAATTAGAGAACAGAGGTCTTCAGCTATGACCTTACTTCAGCTTTGAATGAGGGGGAAAAAAATGTAGACATGAAAAACAGCTTGACTGGTGCTGACACCTCATTTTCCCCTGAACAACGTCACAGGTATACTTCCCCCCTCCCCCTCCTTAAGGAATCGGGGAACCCAAACAGGAGAGAGCATTAGGAAGCCTCCATCTCCCAGAAAAGTTTCAGCTAGAGCTTGAAGAAGCTGTGTCATAGTGTACAAAAGCACTGGAAATGGCTCTCTGAACTATTTATTTTATCCATTGTTCGTGGTCTTTCTACTGCAGTGAGAGAAGATGAACTGACACACACTGGCAGAAGCGTAATTAAATTATGCATTTAAAAAAAGACATTCAGGAAAGAATTTATCATGAGGACAAACGTTACCAGCTCAGTGAAAACCAGATTAGAGTTAGAAATAACAGGAATGCATTCATATTTTTTTCAGTTCTCTCTGTCACTTACTCTTATTCCACCTTACTATAAAGCGTGCAACCTACCTGTATTACAGCAGGTGGCTGAACAGTAGAAGCCACAGCATTTTTTGTTTGAGATAATGGTTTCACCGGAGTAGCTGTTACTTTCTTTAGTAACTGGGTGCCGGAGTTCTTAAAAAAAAAAAAAAAAAAAAAAAAAAAAGAAGAAGAATTAAACACCTGCAGAGAACAGTTGTCAGGTTAGTCAATGACAAAACAGACAATGAAGTTAGTACCCACTCTTGTCCGATATAAACCAAAACACCCACTCTTACAGTAACAATAAAGGAATCATTCACATAGCCCATACAGTTTAAACACTGTTCAACAAAGCTATTTATCTGCCAGTTTAATACTCAAGAACAGATGCAGAGACATTTAGACACAATGCATAATCAGAGCAAAACAGTTAAAGGATGAGTATGTTGGCAAGACCTATGCAGATGCTTACTTTTTTGGTACCTGCTCTTACTCTTGCGTGCTAACAAGACATGAGATGGAAGCAAAAAGTCAGCAAAGCTCAGGGAACGAAGAACATCCTGAGGATATGGCTGAGCTTCACTCAGCTTCAGAGAAGTATCCCACCAGAGGATTGCAAGGTTGCAGTTACTAGCAGTCACCATTTAGGTAGTTTTTTTAGGTTTGCATTCTTTTTCTGTTTGTTTTTTTTTTTTTTTTCGTTTTTTTTTCTTAAAAGCCTTTACATCATCAGCATAGAGGAATTCCTTAATTTGAACTATACCACATGTAACGGCTAGCACTTTTTTTAAACTGAGAAACCAAACCACAGTGATGTTTACATGCAAAACCAAACAGCATCATGTTGTTCAGAAAGCATTCAAATGCCTATTTAACCTTCCATAACTCATTTGCAAACCCTGTTATAACTACATAACATACAGCTACGCCAAATTAAAGCTATGAGAGAAGTTACCTGTACAGCACATATTCTGATTGCAGGTGTGCTGGTTGGTACAGACGGTCTTATGGTTGTGTTATTTTGCGGCTCACCCTGTGCTCGTGCTATTGCTTGTTGAGATACTAGCATTAGTTGGCCATTACTGCTTCTGATAAGAACAGTTCCTGTTGGAGAAAAACATCCAAACTGGTAGAAATTAAACGATATTATGGCTTTCGTATGCTTCTGTGGAAGAAATAACTAGACCACATTGATAAGATAATATAAGATTTAGCTTCTTACTCCAAGGAACAGCTGCCAAGAAATGTAAGAGCTAAGCATATATCAGCTTTACTCTGCACAGCCACATTGAAACAGTATGTGCATACAAGATGCAAATCGCAAAGCAGTTCATCATTTGAGTGAAAACGATATTTTGAACATTAAAAAGCATGTGTGTGGGGTGTGTCTGTCTGAGATTACTTTAACAATAACTTCTTCAAGATGTTCTTCAACCCACAAATTTCATCACCATTAACACTAAGCTGCCTCTACACATTTTCACTTTCTGAACATTTAGGCACACACTTACAGGCGAAGTAATATATGGTTTAAAGAAAAACTGCAATGGGAACTGAAGCCTGACTAATACCAATTCACCTGCCTATATCAAGACCATCCCCCTCGGTCAGAGGGCTGTGGTCTCCAATGAAAGCCAAAGCCACTCAGATATTTGAATCTGTCCCTCTGTCAAGGGTCTGTCCAAAAGCATTAAAATGAATGATTTTAATGAAAGCAACTTACAACCAAATAGGGATATTCCAATGGAGAGGAGAGAAAAAAAGAAAAAGAAACCACACAAACAAACAAAAACCACAAACACCACTCTTCTGCCTTGCTTCCCTGCTTTTGTTTTCCTTGTCAGCCCAGCACTCAAGGATTCAACTCCTACCACCTTTCTCCTACCCCACCAGCTATAACGACAAACAATTAAAAATAACGACAAACAATTAAACAGTTAACAAACAATGAGTATATTTACTAAAGCTTTCAAATGAAAAGGCAGATGCCACACACACAGTCCCATCTTCCCTGCATTTGGAAATCATCCCCCTACCTCCGCCAAAGCCTCCTCCTCCTCCTCCCCGGTCCCCTAAGGGCTTGGCTCTGGAAAATCCAGACGTTTCATGAGGGTCACAAATACAAAATGCCAGCTGGATCCCTGGTCTCAACAGCTCCAGATCTTTCAAGGGAGCTACTGGGCACCCTACCTTTGCTCGTGCCTCACCTTTACCTTCAACAGTCCATCAGTAAAAGCACTGCCCTCAAACACCTCACTCAAAGGCCTTTCGCATAAAAGACAGGGGGAAGGTACAGGAGAATGCCAGATATGTAAATAATAGTACCTCAACATTTTTTGAGGACTGCATTAAACTTTCTTTGAAGTTATCCAATATCTGAAGAATCCCAGATCTCTGCACGCTTATGATCCTTCCTAGTGTAAAACAAGACTGTATCAATGGAACAGTCTTTTTACTACCTGGCTAGTCTGGAAGCTGTCAAAATATTGCTGTACAATACAGCCTAAAACACTCCTTTTGTCTAAGTTTAAATGAATACAACAGGGAAAGCCACAAGCTCCATGAGTTGGGTTTTGTTTTAAAAAGAAAAAGATCAAGCTATAACCACATGCTTAGAAACAGCTTTTCATCCTCCACATCTAAAAGCGTAAGAGGATATTGCAAGACAACACAAAACTTGGTATAAAATTCTGTAACATCAACATATTGCCATTTACATAGCACACGCAAACTGAGACCTTAAGAGTGGCATCTGGAGCGATTCCCTCCTTTCTCAAGCAGCCTTTGCCAGATAGGGCAGATGCACAAGACAGCTGTATATCCACAAAAATACTGTTACTCCATCTGACACCTCAGCTTTCTCCTCCTCCACTGAAATCTTGACTATAATTATATTTAGGTACAGATGGATCTTTATAATTTAACCAATGAATACCCAGAATAATAGAAAACATATCAGATTTCTATTTTTCTTTTCATGACATCTTATTTAGACAGTAACTCACGGCATACAATCAAATCAGTCAAAAAAGGGCATTTTTTCCTTGTTCACATCACATGCTTATGCAGATTCTAGAGGAAGAGAGAAAGCTGACGGCACCACACATTTTGATAGCAGTAGCATTTCTCTCTGCTCTAGATCTACACTCAGGACGGCAGAAGTGTTGCTACTGAAAATTTTAAGCTCTTCTTTTCTAAGATCTACTCTTTGAAAAAGCATATGTAAGTTTATCATTTAATTCCTTTAGAGATTTGGAATGCATTAAGTGTTTTGCTTTCATGCATTTCGGTATTTTGTCACTACTCATTACATCTGTTTTTTAGGCCAAACTGTCAAAAGCACAATTTCTACTTCTCTGAATCATACTGCATACCAGAAACAGCATAATTACCAGTTAATTCGATTATAGGGTTGGGGTTTTTTTGCACTACTATTCTGAAGTTTCAGTTAGCATTTGCCAGAGATGGAGAACCTGCCTGAACAGTGTCCCGTTCTCCAGTCACTTCAATGGGGAGTCTCCAGCAGACTCTAATTGATGGGAAACTAACTCAAGAGCAATACAGCTATCAAGCTTATGCAAATACAGTACAGTTCATATGCAAATTAATGAATACCTTAAAAAAAAAAAAATGAATACCTTAAAAAAAAAAAAATGGGCAGGCAGGTGTTCAGCCATCTCCAGGAAAGCAGGGCTCCATCACGTGTAACGGTTACTTGGGAAGACAAACGCCATCATCCCAAACGTCCCCTACTTCCTCCTTCTTCCCCAAACTTTATATACTGAGCATGATGTCATATGGTATGGAATATCCCTTTGGTGAGTTGGGGTCAGCTGTCCTGGCTGTGTCCACTCCCAGCTTCTTGTGTATTTCCAGCCTACTCGCTGGTGGGGTGGTTTGAGGAGCAGAAAAGGCCTTGACTCTGTATAAGCACTGCTCAGCAACAATGAAAACATTTCTGTGTTATCAACACTGTTTCCAGCACAAATCCAAAACACAGCCCCATACTAGCTACTATGAAGAAAAATAACGCTGTCCCAGCCAAAACCAGCACACTCCTCCAATGGTCATAGCCTTGATTGGAACATATGACTAAGATGATGCCTGTTCACTTCCATATAAGTTATGGTAAGAACCTGTTCCACTTAAAACAAACATTAATTTCCCTATATTTGTTCCACTTGGCAGAATTTTGAATATGGTGGCAGCCTTTTCCTAGCAGTAGCTTTTTGTAACAGCTAGCAAAATTAGAAGTCCTAAATCAATATTATGGTACTACTAACTACTGCTTTTGTAGGTTTAATACTGTAAATGCCCAATGCTAGCTGAAGGCAAATATGAAATTACTGTCATAGCTACAGATCAGTAAAGTGAAGAGCCACAAGACATCACTTCAAGCATGAAACATACAGTTTTGTGCAGTTACAACCTAATGTCATGAAGTGACAGCAAACTGATGCGGATTGTGTGAAACAGTTTGGAAGCTGTTGAGAAGGGCATTTATTTTTCACTTCTGGTTGCCACAATTTACTTATACTTTTTCACTTTTTCAAATACTCCTAATCTTTTGATACTCCCTTTCTGCCTTGAAACAAAAGCAATGACCCAACACTGAATTCAATAGTGCAGACTCCAAGAGGAGACACAGGAGGTGTCTTCTACCAGAAGAGAAGATTCCACAGCACTCAAAACCAATGCTCGAAGTCTCATACACCACGTACAGCTGCACAAATGAGAAATGAGGGAACAGCAGGTGATGGTAACCTTGAGGTTCTCAACAGAAAGGTCACATAAACAGACTTGTGCAGCTACCAAGATGCTACTACCAAAAATGAAGAAAAGACAAGTGCAAGAATCCACATTCTTGACTTTGAGAACAACAACAACAACAAGTTTCTTATCAAGAGCTGTTTTCACATTTACTACAACACAATTTTTGCTAAACTAAATATGGAAACAGATCAGGTCTTGCAGTCATTACAACTCCATGGGAAAATGGTGGGGGGGGAAACCTCTGAACAGCTGAAACAGTGAAGTTTCAGCGAACACCGCTCAGCACAGCATTTGAAAACAGAAAAAGTATCTGCCATGTCTGGCCGAAATATCAGCACCAACTGTTGTTTCTGAACAGCAATCAGGCATCTTCGTAACACCAAAGGTGGCCTCTTTTAGACAGCACTTCCTAGAAAGCAATGTTTACAGGATACACCGTTTGATAGTTGTACTGAAGTTGTTTCAGAGAACAGGAAAAACTTTCTCACCACTGATGCACTTTGATAGCAACAGTAAGGCACAATCCCTTTGTAGGTACAAGGCTGTTCCTATTTTCAGATAACAGACAGAAAACCGAAGTTACTAGCAGGGATTAGTTCTTATGTGCTTCGCTGGAGGACTCGGTTGTCTCTCACAAATTAACAAACAGCCCTTTCTACAATTAATTGAGACTTCTGTCTCTAGATATTCTGTCTGCCAAAAACATCCTTTGGAAAGTTATTTCTTTTTCTTGACTGCCAGAGAAGGCAGTTAAAACAAAATCAGCGATTTCGGCCCTTTGTTCATTGCACACCTTCCTTCAGCTGCAATCCTGCAGGAAGGCTGGCAGGGAAGGAACCAACAAGTGAAACCCAGCTTGGCTCCCTCCAAAGCTACACAGATGGAGCCACACTTGAAGAGGTTTCATTGAGATCTACACCCTTTCTCTCCAGTGACCTGCCTTCTCCTGGAAAAGGGCCTCCAGGAACCATGCCTCCAGAAAGAGTGCCCAGCATCATTCCTGCAAAGCTCAGGCAGCCACCACACAGAACAGCCTCTAGCTAGGCACACCAGCAGTGCATAACGTGGAAAACCAGAGGCCTTCTATTAAAATTCCATCCGCTGCTCAAACCTGAGATACCTCCCCTGTAAATTTTTGCTGTCCCAGCACCACCAGCCAAGGAAATCCAGCTTTTTCTGAACTTGGTTATAATGCACTTCAAATTTTCTAAGCTGTAGCTGTGTTTAGCATCTAACCCAGGAATCAAGAAACACAGGTTAGCAGGAAGAGCAGCTTCCAGGTACCTCTTCATTGTAACTACAGACAGAGAACCAAAAGCTCACTAGAGACACGAGCAAGATGCTGTGGGATCA